CTTAGGCAATATAATATTAATTAAGATGCCATTAGCATTACATGGGCATATTGATAACCAGAAAGTCAAAGACTAGATCCATGTAAATATTTTCCATTTTATTTTGTACTAAAATGTCAAAGCAACTTAAAGGTGAAGGGCAAAAATTTCAACAAATGGTGCTGAATCACCTGAATAGCATGTGTGAGACTGAACCTCAATGCTTACCTCACATTGGTAAATGAAAATAAGCCAGATATTGTGTAGTGCAGACATCTGGGAAGACAAAGCAGGAGGACAGCTTGAGCTCAGAAATTTGGAATAAGCTTAAACAACATTGTGAGACAAAGTTTCAAATACTGCGTAAAATTAAAACTACCCAAATAACTAATAGGAATACCTAGTACCTCATTCTTTTATACTACCACAGTGTATCATTATAAGCAAATATAAGCATCAATATTATCACCATGGCTTTTCTTTGAGTTAGACTTACCTGGAAAACTAGCACAACTGTCCAAACCAAATTGCTTTGGGATACTTAATGAAAAACAGATAAAGAATGGGGGAAATCCCAACAAATGACATTGCATTTTTATAAACTTTAAAAAAATAAATGGAACTATTAACTTACCCAAAGAACTTGTGTATTTCTCTTATGATTGAATGAAAATTCTCAGTGGTATCGAGTACCTCTGTAGGACTATTGCAATGCCATAGCAGAGACAGACATGGATAAGATAGGCAGGGGAACTGTGAATGTTCATCTTCTTTCTGTCTTTCCCTGTTTAGGGATTTCTCTTGATGGCTGTTGAATGGTGAAATCAAATCAACTTAAGCATTTGCCTTAACTGTGGAGAGTAACTGTGAAGATGAAGACCTGTGGATATAACAATACCCCTTTTAAAATAGATGGAAAACAAACAATGTGATAATAAGTATAGCATACATTACATTGAATTTGGCACTTAAAAATCATTCCTGTAAATTTCAAGCTCTTCTAATGGTGTTTTGGCTCATTCATGCCAGAAAACAAAGGGGAAGAAGCTCGAGGACTAGACTGACTGGAATGGATTCAGTGGGTTTGAAGAAAGGATTGTCTTTTGGTAAGTCATCTTTTCTCACAGTGGCTTGCAATTCAAGTCAGGTGGTCCATGACCAAACAGCTCAGAAGCTGAGCATTGCACTAGGAGTGACAGACTAAATAGGGAACTGAACAGTGTGGGAGACAGTATCTATCCATCTGGAGCTAGCAGCCCAAGACAAGCATTGCCTCAGGATCTGCAATTTAGATGCTAAACATGAAGATCCCTCCTAAAACACAATGGAGTATCTTGGTTAGGAAATTCCAGAAGAGTATAGTTGTAGCTAATGCTAAACTAATGCCGACTTTCTGAGTAGTGTCTCATGCAAGAGCAGAGATATGGTGTCTAAGAAAAATATTAAGCATCTGGGCAGCTATTTCTTAATTATGGTTTCAGTGAAACTCAGAATTAGAGTTTTAAGCATATTGATCAAATTGACAATGGCAAATAAATGGCAGCAGACCTTGAAAGGGTAAGTTATAAGTCATAGTAAACATTACTGCAACTGGGAAAGACACCTTTATTGGAATATCAGTCTAAGTCATGTTTTAGCCCCTTAACCAAAGCATTAACACTCTTATGCCATTACTCTGTCAAAGAGAAGTGGGGTATGCTTTCAAAGGATATCTTTTATGGTTTTCCAAAAGAAATGCTCTCATAATTATTATAAAGAAACATTCTTATCCTTATTCTCATTAATAAATGACAAAGTTAAATCCTCAACTAGTAATTTATTCAAGGTCATCGACTGACTAGGTGGCTGATATCAAGACTGTATTTGAATTTCTTTTATTCCAGAGTGTGTTCTTTGCATTGCCATGGATTGTGCAGCAAGCAAGCTAATTAAAATCTTCTGTAGTAGGAAAATGACACTCTCTGATAAGATATGCCTCTCTTAGCTAATATTGGCCTTTGACTATGGGACATACCCAGGGAATGTTAAGATCTGAGGTACTGGACATTTGGGTCTTATGATTAGAGCCTATTTTAAAAACCTGTGTGTATGATGACATCCATCCTTTGAAACTATCAATAATATTTTATAAATATTTAAGTTTTAAGACAAGACATATTTCCTCATGTAGTTACCATACCTGGTGCTTTCTACTCTGCTGTACATATTCAAAGTTTTATGATACTTTTCTACATGACTAATGTGTTATCTTTCTTATAGTGTGGATCTAAAAATCACTTCCACACTAAAAATGCCTGTAGTTGCCCATCATTTTGAAGGCTGTTTGCTGCTTGTAGAAATCAAGGTTGACTTGCCATTTTAAAAACTACTTTACAGTTGTTCTCCCAATGCTTTTGTTTATTGCATTATACCTAACCAAAAAATCCCTACAGTCATTTTGTTTTTCATCATGTAACATTTTTCTTTGTTTTGCCAGCTGTTTATGGTATTTTCTATTTATTAATAGTCTTGGAGAAAATGAAGTAATAATGGTATGCAGTGGTGGTTTCATTCATGGTTCTTGTGTTACAGCTGTGGTTCTTACCTATAGGTCTCAACTCTTTCGGGGGTCCAATGACCCTTTCACAGCAGTTGCCTAAGGCCACCAGATAACACAGATATTTACATTATGATTCCTAACAGCAGCAAAATTACAGTTATGAAGTAGCAACATAAGTAATTTTCTGGTTGGGGGGTCAACATAGCATGAAGAACTGCAATATTACATGGTCACAGCATTAGAAAGGTTGAGAACCATTGTGTTAAGGGCGTTGGAAATTTGGGGATTTACAGTGGAATTTCAATTTGGAGTTTTTGGTTAGTACTTGTTTGTTTCTCCTTTCCTTATTTCATTGTCTCTCATTCAGGAACTATATTCACAAGTATATCAAGTTGGAAGAACTCGTGTCTCAGCTCACTGCTATTTGGCCTGTGCGTTTTTGTTGTTGTTGTTTTGTCTTTTGTTTTGTTTTTTATACTCTGTGGCTCATTGTGGATGGCTTCTATGTTTTCAAACTTATTGATTTAATTTTCATGCTCAGCCTGTCATTGAGGCCATCTAATTTCACATAGTACAATGTATTATGTCCATCTTCATAAAACTAACTAGTCTTTATTTTCTTTCACATCTCTTAATAATTTTTTTAAGATATTTGTTTATAGCATAAAAATGGCTTTTTGTATGCTGTTCAATATTCACCATAACCTACTTTTAGAACTTTATATTAACCCCACTCAAAAGAAACTCTTTATTCCTTTCCATTTTTTCCTCAGTAATTTGTCTGTATCCTACTCCCTGTCCCCTCCCCCATCCCTTGGTTAAATATTAATCTACTTTCATAAATTTGCCTTGTTTGGATATGCCATATAAAAGAAATAATAAAATCTGCTAAGGTTTTTTGATACCTGATTTCTTTCCCTTCAATTTTTTCAAAGTTCTTTGCTAGTTTACCATATATGAGCAGCCCATTTTTTGTTATTGCCAGTTTGTATTACGTTGACAATATGTGCATTTAGTTCTTTTCTCTTCCTATCTCAAGATGTCTTTTTTCCTACATTTGGTTCTTACAGACTTTGTGTATTGTATGCATTTTGTGCTTATATTTAATTTCTTTTGAGTTATACTTGAGAAATTATGGCTTACTCCATAATTCTGTTTAACACTTTGAGGAAATGATTCATTGTTTACAAAAAACATGTGTCGTTTTCCATTCCCAAAAGCAACGTGAAAGTCTTTCTTTTGTACCACCCCTCGCTTTCTGTTAACTCTACTCATTCTTTGGGTTATAAAGATAGATTTACTTACAGCTAGCTGCTTGTCTGCTGTCTTAAATAGCATCCATTTTAATTCTCATGTGACTGGCTTTTCTAGCAATGAACTTTCTTTCAGTCATGCTTGGTAATAACCAACTGAAGATTGGATATTGTGAAATGAACATACTGCTTGGTGGCTTGCAACTTCATAGTCAATATTGCAATTTAGTTCTCTTAAATAAGAGATTGTTAAATCTCATTCTTTTAACCTGCTAGGTGGCACTACAGTCATGCTCAGTTTAGGGTCAATTACTATTGCCACTCCCAGAGCAACACTTCTTAGGGGTCTATTTATTACCTCACCACAGATAATGCATTAAAAAAAAAATCTTAATTTTCTTACCAATCCCAGTTCCCTCTCTCTCCATCCTCCTGCTACCCCCACCTTCTTCCCACACCAGCCCCCATCCACTCCTCAGAAAGTGAGACCTCCAGTGGGGAGTCAACAAACTATGCCAATCCCAATTCCTGGAAATGGTAATTGATACAGATCCTGCTTAATCTCCAAGCACCTTGAACTACCCCTTCAGAAATGTCCTTAGATGTTGCTCAGGACTCGGCTGAATATTTCGGAAACCTGCTGGTCCCGAGTCCCTCTTGCAGCAGCCTTTTCTCTCTCTCTCCTGTACTCTGTGAACAGTACCCCCCTCTGTTTCAGCTGTATCTCGTCAACGCGGGAGAAGCCTGGAGAAGCCGTTCGTTCATTCTGCTGGGCTCTGTGATAATGTCTTAGAACTCTTACGATTTCTTTATGAGAGCAATATTCTTCAGCCCTACCTCCTTTCTTTTCCAGTGACAAATTTTAAAAGGAAAGCGTGAAAAGTAAAAACAACGTTTAAATAAATAAATAAATAAATAAATAAATAAATAAATAAATAAATAAATAAATAAATAAATAAATAAAGGAGGAAGAGAGGGAAGGCGCCTTTTCTCTGCAGGCTGCAGCTACCAGAGCTCGCTGTGCCTATTCTGGACTTCCTATCGCAACCAGGACTTCCTATCGCGCAGGCGCAGAACCTCCACAGCATCCAGACACATCTGCGCGTGCGTGAGTCGGGGGCGGGATCGGAGTCGGCACTTGGCCAATGAGAACAAGGTTTTGTTCCTTAGACTCCCGCCCAGTAACCCAGCAGCTAATCGCTTGCTGAGGCGCGCAGTTCAGAAGAATCCAAACGCGCCGATCGCTGCAGAGCCATGGCGGATGCTGAGACCCGGCTTGGGGCGACCGAAGAGTGAGTGTAGGAGGCGGGCGGCTGGGGCCGCCGGTTTAGGAGGGCAGTTTCACCCTAGTTTAGGAGTGCGGCCTCGGACAGACGGTGTGGCTTTTGATTCAGGGGTTTAGCCTCAGTTGGGAGTGCAGATTCTGAGCGACAGTGACAACCTGTCTCTGGCTTTGTGCCACTCTGCTCCAGGCAGGAGTGCAACGTCAGGGGGACTTAGTTGTCAGTTTGAGGCGTGATACCTCTGATACCTCTGGATGGCTGTTGTAGGTCATCTTGTGTCATGTGCTGCCTTTGAGAGACTGTCCACCCAAATGAGTACACCGTGGTGTATTCTAAAAGTCAGTGCCTTTAGTTTGTCCTAATCAACCCTTTGTCGTTCTTGGAGACTTGGTTAATTTCTGTCACTACCTTTTGGTTTTTGTTTGTTTGTTTGTTTATTGTGAGACAGGATTTCTTTGTTTTGCTCTGGAGCCTGTCCTGGAACTTGCTCTGTAGACCAGGCTGGCTTCGAACTCACAGAGATCCACCTGCCTCTGCCTTTGGAGCACTGGGATTAAAGGTGTGTGCCACCAATGCTCGGCTACTATCACCTTTTTATGTTGGTGTGTTTTATACATATCTCTGTCCCTGAGTGGATTGTTCCAGCCAGTAAGGAAAGGCTGGGCACACAACACATCAAGTTTACTCAGTGTGCCCCATCATGTGTTCTGAGAGAGCCCTTGCTAGGATGACTCCCAAGGTGAATTTGAGTTCTCTCTTTTATCTGTTTCTGTATATATGTCCTTGCCTATTTTCAGGCTGACTCAAGTAGCTTTTATCTATTGAGACACTCCCTGTTTTAAAATTTTGCCACTTCTGCATGTTCTTTATCCCCCAGTATTCCTTATGACTGCCCTCATGGCCCAGTGACCATTGCAACTTCTCCAGGCATATCATTGTAGTCTGATCCCAGACTGGAGTCCCTTCGGGTCCTTGTGGAGACTTTGGCCAAGTTGGGACTCTGAGCTATTTTAACTGGGCAAAGATGTTACATTTGTTTATGCTGTGGATATTATTTTAACTGTGTAAGGGTGTGTTGCATTTGTTTATGCTGCCTTTGTTTAACTTATGTAAAGATGTGTTCTGTTTCACCTTGCCTGTCTGAGATACCTGATTGGTCTAATAAACAGCTGAACGACCAATAGCTAGGCAGAGAAGGGATATGAGGGGGGTGGTGGGCAGAGAATAAATAGGAGCAGAAATCCAGAGAACAAAAGAGAAGGAGAAAATGAGGGAGAAAGAGAGAAAGATACCCAGGACCATCCACGCAGCTGCCCACAGCAGCAGACACAGAGTAAGACAGAAAGAAAGAAGGTTAAAAAGTCCTGATGCAAAACATGGATGAAAGAACAGGTTAATTTAAGTTAAAGGTGGGAGAAAAATGTCAGAAACAAGCATAAGCTAAGGTGGAACATTCATAACTAATATGTTTCTGTGCCACAACTTGGGAGCCAGTTGGTGGCCCAAAAGCAGGTCTGGTACAGTCTCCATCATATATGTATATGCATGTAACCTTCAGAGTCCGTGTGCTGTAATGGCATGGTCTCATTTGTTTCCCACAGGGTCCTGGCTGAAGTAGCAGGCATTCTAGAACCTGTAGGCTTGCAGGAAGAAGCAGAGCTGCAGGCCCGGGTCCTTGAGGAATTTGTGAAGGTATGTACCAGGTGGGACCCAGGTTTTCAGACGGTAGAGGCTGGTCCTAGGATTGCCTTTTGAGACAGCAGGCAACTCTGGTGAAGAACAAAATGGAAGACAATCTTAGCATACAGTGCCCAGAGGTAAGGACAGTCCCTGCTTCTGTCTCCACTCTGAACAGAATTCTCGGAAGAAAGACAAACTGCTTTGTAGTCAGCTTCAGGTAGTGAACTTCCTACAGAATTTTCTGGCTCAGGAAGATACTGCCCAGAGCCCAGACACTTTGGTTTCTGAAGACACAAGTCGTGAGTAGGCTTGGGTTTATGGTACGGTTTGGTCTGAATGGTTGAAGAGAGAAAATTTGAGTTAGGTCTGCGTCTGGCTAGTGGGAAGACTGTGGCCCAGTGTTATAGAAGGCTAGCTGCAAGCCAACCTCACTCCCTCACTTGTGCTCACCTTCTTTGTGGCCCATCTTAGGACAGAAGGCAAGTGAAGTTAAAGAGCAATGGAAGGAACTGAAGGCCACCTACCAGCGTCATGTGGAAGCCATAAAATGTGGTCTGACCCAGGTCATACCCCAGGTAGAAGAGGCTCAAAGGAAGTACACAGAGCTCCAGGAGGCTTACGAGCATCTCCAGGCTAAGGTACACCTAGAAGACTTAAGAAAAAGAAGGACAGGGGGAGGGAAGGGGTCAGTTGGGTAGGACTTAGGTGCTGTCTCCAAAATCAAACCTAGGAAGTGATCGTTTTCTCCCCTCAGAAGCAAGAAGTTGTGAAGAAACAGGAAGCATCCCAGAAGAAGTGGGAGCTGCACCAGGTAGGCTCTTTGCTCTAGGCTCTTCTCTGCCTCGAAGTGCTATGGATCCTCTTCCTGTCAGTGAGTCTGAGCCCTGAGCTCTGTTTGAGCAGGGACCTGGCTCCAGGATAGCAGCATTCCATAAGCCATGTCTGTATTCTCACCCCCCTCAGAAAAATCTCCAGTGTCTGGCAGAGATAACTGCAAAGGTAAAGGAACTTAAGGCGAGAACCCAGCAGAAGCTTGACCAATCGAATCAGGAACTTGAAAACTTGAAGCAGCAAGCAGAACAGGAACAAGATAAGCTGCGGAGGTGAGGCTGGGACCCTGGGTTGAAGACTCAGGCAGTCTACATGATGTTTATCCTCACTGCACATGAACTCTGTTCTTTCAGGAACAAAACCTACCTCCAGCTATTGTGTACCCTGCAGAAGAAGCCACTGGTCTCTGAGGCCAAGGCTGAGGACATGGGAAATGCCCTTCTACCTGAATCTCTCTAAGGTAAGCTCCATCAGCTGACCAAGGAGCAAAGCAGAGCAGGGAAACCGTGGAGAGACAGTGCTGTGTCTTTTAAAATGAATTAGAGTTGACTTGGCAGGTGGGAAGGGAAGCTGGGGACTTGATCTGACTCCTTGCCCAGATTGTACATCACCAGGCCAAAGGCCCAAACCCTCAAGTGATGGCTTTTTGAGTGATAGTGATATGCACAAAGATCCTCCATCAGGTAGAACCCAAATCAGAATTTGGTGTCCTTTAACCACAAAGTTGAATGGACATCCTCTACTTCTGAAGGGCCAGGAAGTGGGAGGGGAGGAAGAATGTGACTGTAAGTTCTTCTGTTGTGTGTATAAGATTGGGCCCACCGGCCTGGGCTTTTGAAACGTTACAGCCCACACTCCCAGTGATACATCTCCAAAAGGCTTCACCTAATCCTTCTGCAAACAGTTCTACTAACTAGGGACCAAACATCCCAATAATAGAGCCTATAGGGTCCATGCTCATTCAAAGCACCACAGAGTACAAAAGACTATATGGCTTGGATCATGTTGTTCATTCTTAAAGTATTCCCTCATACTTTTCTGACTCTCATTGTTTCATATGAGAATTCAGCTGCACATTCATTTCAAAGCTCTTTCTATGCTATATTATGTAAACATATGTGTGTATATGTATATATAAAAATTTGTCAAGGTAAAATAGAAAAACAACCTAGACTATAAAGGTATAAAACATGTTTTGACATATATATATATATATATATATATATATATATATATGTGTGTGTGTGTGTGTGTGTGTGTGTGTTGTGAAATGATGAAATCAAGCCTAATAATATTTATTACTTGACACACTTTTCTGCGTTGAGACTACCCAAGATCCATTGCCTTAGCAGTTCTTGAGTGCATAAATCACCTGGTTACTCTGTTATACACAGTAGACAGCCAGAACTCATTCATAGCTTCTTACTCCTATTGGTTGCTCACAGAATCCTGTGTTTTCTACTTTGTCATTTTATTATGTTGTGAGTAATTTGGGATTCATCTTTTCGTGTAATTAATTGAACCTTTCAACAGTTCTAGAATATTCTCAGTCTTGTCTCTTTAAAATGTACTCTGTTGTGTTATTCTAAAGGAGGGTTTAGTTTTTTAATGTCATTGTAATTGTATGTTGCTTTAATCAATCATCTGTTTTTTTAACTTTTAAATTTCATTTTAAGTTGTTATATTAGAGCCCAGTATACTGTATTATTTTTCAGTCTTAGAATGACACACACAAAAATCTTGTCATCACTGTTGACTAGGTTACTAGTTTATACTTTGGGTACACTGCCAATACTACATGTTCCTACTTGTTTATGTTTGAGTAATCTTTCTGTGAGCTCCTCGTCCCTCCATTTCCTTTCCTTTGTCTTTGGTAACACTTTGTGCCTCCCATACAGTTGAAAGGATTCTGCCAGTGGCTCATGGGTACTTCCAGTGTAACTTGTAAAAATTCTGAAGGACGTATTTCTCCCCTTCTTTACATCTGCATGCTACTCTAGTTTACGTTCTTGTTGTCTGGATGGTTTTTCCTGTTCTCATTAGTATTTCCCAAGGGGTCTTTATTTCTATTATTTTTCTTTACAAACTCTAGCTTTAGGTGGAGGGTACAGATAATGGCAGAATACTTGATTAGTGTATACAGGGCTCTATGTCTAATCCATAGCTCCACAAAACAAGGGAAATGACAGGACACTTCAAACCTTGACCTTTTTATTGCCTTTTAAAAAAATCCTTTTTAACTCAATTATGTTTTTGTTACTTCCTTTCTTGTGGCATATACTTTTAACACTTGTATAATTTAGACATTTGGTAGATGAAAAACAAATTCTTTTCCTCCCTATGTAGGGTTGTATATTTTATTGAGGCATTATTATTTTATAAATTTCTTCTTCCAAACTTAGAAACCCTAAAGTACACTAAAGTACCAGTCATAATGTTGAAACTGCTGCTAATTCTAAAAATGGACAATCTTGCTCAGACCCTGTTGGTCCTCTTTCATCTTATGGCCTTTCTGAGATGAATGTATTCCATCCCTATCTTACAGATTCTATATAACTTGCATTAAAATGTCTCATTATTTGAGCTTCTTTGTGTCTTTTTTAATATTAGTTTTGAAATACTAGTGAAGTATGAAATCAAGTACATTGATTTGATCTTTATTCCTAGCCCAGTCTTTGAGTGACCCATTTGACACATAGATTGTTGAGCTCTGAAAAGCTTACTGTTCAGATTCATAGTCTATTAACTAACAAACATGCTTCATTGAAACAATTGATACACTGCACTAGAATCAGCATCTCTCTCTCTCTCTCTCTCTCTCTTTTTTGAGGCCTTTTCCAAATTTCGTTTGAAAAACATAAATCATCCTCCTATGGTTGAATTATTAACAACTTTCTAAAAGAGATCTTTTTTTCTTACCGATACGTCAGCTCTCACTTTGTAGTCCAAATGCCCTTGAGTTTATACCCTCTTGCATCAGCCTTCTCATGGCTGGCATTATAGCCAACACATCTTGCTAAAAGACCTCTTCTTGGACTATAATATATAAGATTGGTGCCATATTTTCTACATCTATCAAAATATGACACAATTTAACTAGTCCAAGAAATTTTTATACTAAAAGTTTTGTCTTTTTGTGTTCTCAGCCCTAGTTTATATTCTGTTTGTATTTGGAGAGAAAATAGTATCTTGAGACAGAGCCTGGTCTCAATATATGTGAACCCGGATTAACTTGATTAGATACTGTAATATTAAATGGGTAATTTAAAAGTCTGTTTAATGAAGCATAGTATTATATCTTAGTTCTTGCTGTAGTAACTCCATGATTATTAGAAAGGTGCTGTCTCTAATTCGGAAACCTCTAATCATAGCAATAGCTGCATTGCCTATTTCAATGTGCCATGTACAACATGAGAAGAAATGAGTAGGAAGAAACATAAACTGATGCCCTGTGTGTATCATTGTAAAAGGGTATAAGGGAAAAGAGTGCTTCGCCTCATAGCACCTGGAAGAGAAGGGTGTATGTAAGCCTATGTGTGCATGCTGGTAAGTAAAAATAGAACTATATCCTTTAAGACACCCCAGTCAGGACCCACATTCCAATCCATGCAATTGGATTGATCCTTTGGTTTTAAAGTAAAGCACTCTGATCCAATCACCTCTCCACCACTAATCAGGTCCTAGGTCTTAGAATATGAGCCCTTTTGTAGTCTATTTCATATCTAATGTATAACAATAACTGTAGACTATGTATCTTTTGAGGAAAGTTAAACAGAGGTTTCATATGTCTGAAGCATAACTTGTTTGCATCTAATTAAATTATTTAAATCAAATGTGTCTTTGGAAATTGATATTCCCAAAAGTAGAATGTGATTTAAGGTAAATATTGGTTTCAAATTACTTTTCCAGAAAATACAAATAGGTTTAACATGTGTATTTAATTTGACTTTGTAAATTTAGTTACGAAGCTAGTGCAGTTTGCTTTCTCTAGGTGTCTAGTTTAATATAGAAGAATTTTTATGCAAATATAAAATTATGTCTGGGTGTGTAATATGTAGTGTGTCTGAACTGTCAAGCATCTTCCTTCTAAATTTATTCTGCTTTATTTTTAAAAGACTTGTTTCTATCAAAGATAGCTGGAAACTACTGGAATCTTGTCTAACTTAGCAGCCTTGATTACTATCAACTGTTTACTGTGCTTTTTTTTTTTTTTTTTTTTTTTTTAACTGGGTTTCCTATTCATTTTTTTACAAAGAAGCTAAATGGCTGCTTGGTTCAATTTTTAATTTTGTGTCAAGAGTTATGTTCCCATTCAGTGCTATGGTGTATTTCAAGATTATTTGCTTCTTGGAAGTTTTTCTCAATTTAACACTATTAGAGCTTTATAAGAATATGTGTTTTATTCAGTTGAAGTATATATGATGTTTCCTATATTGGCTAATGGATAGTATAAGCAAAAGCATTAAATAGGATGCATTTTCTTCAGATACAACTATCTTCACAGGAAGCAAGTGTGGATAAAGTGTCTTCTTTCTTATGGGAAATCCCCCAGAGCTTTCTATAATGTTTCATGATGTCCTCAGTCCCTTCATTTGTAGCTTCTTTGACCTCTTAATGCATTCTGTATTAACAGATTTCCTATTGGATTGGCTGAAGTCTTTCTTGGATTCACTTTTTTTGCATATTAAGAAACCAAACCTTGCTGGGCAGTGATGGCTCACACCTTTAATCCTAGCACTTGGGGGGCAGAGGCATGAGTTCAAGACCAGTCTGGTCTACAAGAGCTAGTTCCAGGATAGGCTGCAAAACTACACAGGGAAGCCCTGTCTGGAAAAAAATAAAAAATAAAAAAAGGAAAAAGAAACCAAACCTAGATCTCTCTCAGCATTCTGAACACTGGCTTTCTTCGTGATTAGTAATGGACAGCCTGTATGTATCTGGAAACACTGGCAAGACTGGCTCAATTATTTAACCTATGTTATACTGTGTGTATCTCCATGAAAATCAACTTTGAAGGTAACTAGTGGCTCTGTGAACATTGCATAACGGAATGGTACTTGAGAGACTATACAGTTAATGAACTAAGGCAGGGAAGAGGTGAGGTAACTTGTGTTGTAATCATGGGAAACAATTCAAGTAACCTTGTGTTGTAATTATGGGAAACAATTCAAGTAACCTTGAGTAGAATGATCTTTGACTGTCTATCTGTCTATGGTAAAGTCTTATAGTTTAGATTAAAGGTTGCTACACTATTATGTTGTAATGTGTGTGTGTGTGTGTGTGTGTGTTTCCTTGTTTTGTTTTGTTTTTTTCCAGTTTCATCCCATAGTGGAAATTGTTCTGTATACAGGGGTTTGTCTCTTATGGTCAGTCTCAGCTCCCATCCCTGTAGTGATAGGGACATTGTAGTCAGTCCAGTCTTTTTCCTAAGGACACAAGTGAAAATCCATCACTTTCCTA